ATGAGGTTAAGGGGGGGGGGGGGGATTGCGAGATGTAAATTCAGAATTCTGAGGAAAAAAGAGAGAGAAAGTTTATATCTTTCAGTTCTGAGTTTATATCTCGTATTTCTTTTTTTCTTAGAATTGCAAAAAAAGTCTCAATTGTGAGATATAAACTCAAAATTGAGAGAAAGAAGTCTGAATTGTGAGATAAAAAAAATCACAATTACCTTTTTTATTTTTTCATTCTGTGGCGGAAACAGGCTTCCCTAGACCACGTTGTTCATTAGCCTTGTTACCTCATTTATAAGCCTCATAACCTTGCTAAGGATTTGTAATAATGCCACTGCTGTGTGCTATTCAGCAAATGGCCTTCACTTTCATTTACAAAGGGCCTGTTAAAAGAATGCATAGACCAGTTGAATGGATTCTGGGTAATCAAATTTTCTGTTGCTCTATGAATGAACAATACAAAGCCCTTAATAGGCACCTGTTTGAAGGGACGTGTCTCAAAAGCCAGGCAATTGCTGATTCTTTCGGTCACAGGAGCTAATCCATAGAGATTCTCAGGCTATCTAGCGTGGGGGGTTGGTGTCCGTCTCCGCTCTCATCATTTATCATCTCAGGATGGATTGAAAAAAATGAACCCGCTGCCCCCGTTCTCGGCATCTGTTTCCATCTCTCCTTCAAGCTAGTTTCGCTCTTTGCTCCTGTTTTGCACACAGAGACACAGACACACACACACACACACACACACACACACTTACCAGTATGCCACTCCTAATCAATGAAAGTTCGTATTCAGTCGGTGAATGTTGTTTAAACGTCAGAATCCTTCACCATGGTCTGATAAACAGAGATTGTCACACAAACCCTGTTATTTTTCTCTCTCTCTGTGTTCTCGTAGCTGGTAGCAAATGCAGTGTTGCTGGTCGGCGTGAATCTGTCGGGTGTGTTTGTTCGAGTCCTTACTGAGCGCGCCCAAAGGAAGGCCTTCCTACAGGCCAGAAACTGTATCCAACAGCGCCTGCAACTAGAGGACGAGAACGAGAAACAGGTCAGACACGCACGACATGTGCATGGCATACACACAAACAAACAGCTACATGTTTTAGATGAAATTATCAGCTGTTTCATTTTCTCCCACAAGTTAAAGTTGAAGGTTTGACAGGTAATTTACCTTGCAAGATTGCTTTCATTCCCCCCTGACTTGCTTATAGGTCAAGCTTTCTCTGCAAACACACACTACCTCCTGCACACACAGGTGCATGTACGCTAAGGCACACAAAACAGTTGTGAGATCGGGTCTAAGGTCAGGTGCTTGACTTAGTTGGTATTCAGGCTGTATGTAACTATAATGCCATTACAGCCCACCAAAAGCACCTCAGAACAGGCTCGTGATGCTATGAGTGTGAGTAATGGCTTAGCATTTTCATTTGGCTTACTAGCTTCAAATGTAAACTTTGAAGTCAACATGGACCTTTTTTAGTTTCTTAATGTGTGCTTTTGCTTTATTTTAACAGTACATGTTTTTGCAAAAGAAAAAACAGCTCAACTCAAAGTTGATTTGGAATTTGATTTGGAATGACAGGACCTGGAATTTAATGAATTGCAGTTAAACAGGTATGGCTTTCTGGGAAATCAAGTGTTCTTTTGTCTGGTCTATAAGACCTAGAGTACAAAAATTGGGGTCAGTAATTTTTTTGAAAGAAATGTATATTTTAATACTTTATTCAGCAAGAATGCATTAAATTGATTGAAGGTGACAGTAAAGACTTGCACTGATACAAAAAAAAAATCAAATAAATGCTTTTAAACCAGGGGTGCCCAAACTCGGTCCTGGAGGGCCGGTGTTTCAATTCCACAAAAATATTGAACCGAATAACTGTTTTCAATGTTGATAATAATAAATGTTTCTCGAGCAGCAAATCAGTATATGATATCTGAAGGATCATGTGACACTGAACACTGGAGTAATGACTGCTGAAACATGCTTTACATGACATAAAAAATACATTATGAAATATATTAAAATAGAAAATATTTATTTTAAATTGTAATAATATTTTACAATATTACTGTTTTAACTGTGTTTTTATTTAAATAAATACAGTTTTGCTGAGCATAAGAGACAATAAAAATTGTCATGAATTTTAGGACAGCATAACAAACAGTGAAGCCGAAGCGCAAATATTTTATAAGAAACTTCCATGGGTCTGTCTAGATACCCAGCAGCACCTCTACTGTATAAGCCCAATCCTGAATGAAACAGGAGTTTTCTATACTTAGAGCAAACTCTTTGAAATACCTGTTGGCATATTTGCGGGATGGACATTTCTGGAAAAAATGCACACGCAGCAGATTGTGATGCACTTATTCAAAGATTTTCTTGCAGCGGCAACCTACCGGAGCAAGCCTGATCCACCATCCCACTTTATTTCTCAGTGACACTGCTTCATCTTTAGCTGTCATTGTGGATTATATCAACGATAAAGAATGTGAATCAAATAGCAACATTAGCATAACTTATCTCACTCACCGAGCTCTGGGTAGATTGCAGTGGATAATTACTGAATGGTTTATAAATTAAGTGGAGAGGGGCATAAGATGGAAAGATGCAAAACACACTCATACAAACTAAAGCAGAGAGGACACTTTCCCCTTGTTCCTTAGCGACTGAAAATTGGTTATAATTGTTTGCACATGACTCATCCACCTCCTACCCAACAAACTCCTTGAATAGAAGGTAACAACACCCACTCTATACACAGAGGTGGACAGTAACTAAGTACATTTACTTGAGTATTGTACTTAAGTACACTTTTTGAGTATCGGTACTTTACTACACAAACTCTAATGCACGCCTGTGCACTCGCTGCAGAGATATGGAGCAGTCTGTGATCTCTCCATTTGCACATACAGATGATCTGTCATTCATGTCAGCAAGAATGGCTCATGTATTGATTTCAAAAGTATGAGGGTTTCTGGGGCAGATTAATTAAATCACAAGGAGGGAGAATATTTGAGTAAAAATGTTTATTATATTATTTATTTATTTTTTGATTAAATGGAAATTTTAAATGGAAAAGGGGAGGCCGGAGAGTCTCGAATATGTTTTGTTTCAAACTCTATAACTTTTTTATGCTTTGAATAATAGTATTATTATTTATAAATCTAATAATTGTAACATGTCAATGCAAGGAAGAGTCAAGGTAGGATCCAAATGCAATCAGTGGAACATTTAATAAAACAAAAGGTAATCCAAATCCAGAAACATAGAACCAAACACAGAGAGAACCAGGAAACAGAAACAACATGCTACAACTTCGCAAAGACAACGACTGACTCAGACTGACTAAAACACAGAACTATTATACACAGAGACACTAACAAGATGACAAGGTAACAAGACACACCTGGGAAAGTAATCAAGAGGACCAATGAAACAAAAGAACTACAAAATGACTACAAAAGGCACTCTAGACAGGAAGTAACACAAAAGTCCAAACACAAGACAGGGGAACATGAGTCAGATCATGACAATAATACTACTAATAATAATCCCATATTTATTTTATTTATTTAGAAAAAATAAAATAAAAATATATATACATACAGTGCCTTGCGAAAGTATTCATACCCCATTCATTTTTTCACATTTTGTTGTTAAACTGCTTTAAATTACTTTTTTTCCACACCAATCTACACTCCATACACCATACTGACAAAGCAAAAACAGAATTGTCACAACTTCGTAAATGTATTAAAAATAAAAAAAAACTGAAATAAGTACATTGCATAAGTATTCATACCCTTAACTAAATATTTAGCTGAAGCAACTTTACAGCCTCAAGTCTTTTTTGTTTGATGCGACAATTCAATTCAAGTTTATCTGTACAGCGCTTTTCACGATACAAATCATTGCAAAGCAACTTTACAGCAAATTAAGTTTCTACAATATTTAGTGGTAGCTTATCAGTGGTGACTATCAGTTAATGTACATATGGTAGAAATGTACGGAGAAATCAATTAAAGACATAATCAAACAGACGATGAACACTATTAACAGCAATTATTATATGATGCAATCAAACTTATAGCAGAATGTGGTAGTTCTGTATGTTGTTTCAGGGTTAGCATAATATATTACAATTTAAAAGCTAAAAGTTATTTTAAAGTGTAATAATATTTCACAATACTACTGTTTTCTATATACAGTAGTTTATATATATATATATATATATGCAGCACATAGATATCCAGTTGATATCCATGTAATTATAATTTTTGTCAGCAAGGAAAAACATCTAATCTATGTATAACAGACACTAGTATTCATTGTTTTTAAGTTTCACAGTCAATGAAAGAGACTTAGGCAATTATAGTCATGCTGCTACAAACTCTCAAACCAACTCTCAGCTCAACTTTTGAGTGAAGGTGAGTGACAAAGCAAGCTGTTGGGTTTAACACAGGTGGTATGGCTCGCTGGGGTTTGCTCATCGAGAAGGCATTTATCACCTACTTTCAGTAACGCATGGTTTGGCAATAAACTCTATGCGTTTCCACGGAAACTTACCTTTGCCATGCCAACCAACTCCAACGCTCAGGACTGTGATCTCTCACAGAGTTTGGCCACTTAACAGCTATCAGTGAGTTCATTAGATAAAACGTATACAGATAACAGAAGTAGCCAGTTTTAAACTAACAGTAACCATAATACAATGGCCATCACAGTCATTTTAATGGGTTTTTTTATGGAGCTGTTCAGGCGTGATGTCAATTTGCATGCCACCGGAAGGCCATGGCTTCCCTTGGAAATTTCCATGTCCAAGGTGGCACCTCATTATGTTACGGGGCAGACAAGACGTGAGACGTACGGATCCATTTGCAAACTTTATTCAAAGGCGTGGTCAGAAACAGGCATGGGTCAGACAATGGCAAACTGGTATGGAGAAGACAAGGCAAGGGCAATCCGGTAAACAAGCGAGGGTCAGTCGACGGCAAACGGAATCCAACAGGGCGAGACTAGAGGGATAAATCCAGGTACACAGGCAAAGATCAGAACATAGGAAAACAGACAAAGCAAGACTCCGCTAAGGCTAGGAAAACTAAGCAGGCTCCGTAAGGTAGCTATCAGCTAAACAATGATATTCACTAAAAAATACTCAGCCCCTTGACGGGGGTAAGAGTGACTGTTATATAGGGAAGGTGTGATTGATGACAGCTGTGTGCAATCAGTGCTGTGTGCAATCAACTGTGTGTGTAATCAGTGCAATGGATGATGGGAACTGTAGTCCGGGTGAAGTGCAACAGTGGTGTGGTGCAAGAGTCCATAGTAGTGGAAGGGTGACCTCTGGTGGCGAGCAGACGGAAGTTCATGGACCGGATTCGTAACACATTAAGTTGGTTGAGCAAATGTCTTAAAGGTGCTGAATGTAACTTTTTGACTGTACTAAAGCATAAAAATCCCATTATATGTTTGCAGATATTTAGGAAACATGCTAAGTTCATGTACTTTTTCACGTTCACAATTTTTTTTTTTTTTTTTTTTTGTCGACCAGAGGAATATTAAAACGCAGAAAAATCAACTCATTAACTTACAGCGTAAGGCTTGTTGCCTAACATTGTCGGTTGCGCTCGTTCCTTGTTGCATCTGGCAACCCGTGTGAGAGTTGAGTCTGAGGAGGGGGGCGAAAGAAACAACACTCTCCAATATTTGGAATTTGGACTGCAGTACTTATTTCAACCACTAGTTGTCAATATTACATTCTGTAATTCATTCTGTAATGAATTCTGCAGAGTACTAGAATAATTTATTCTTTAATTCAATTGAACTCTTTCCCCACCATTGACGGAATTTTCCAGCTTTCTGTGTTTTGACTGTTATACGGTAGGGGGCGCTATTAGGCATCTTTTGAAACAGTACTGAATCTTAGGATCAAAATACAGATGAAGAAGAAGCAGAAACAAGCGATCACATATGCAAGCAGATGCATATGTAAAATAACGCGATCAAACATTAAACAGCATATAAATCAAAACTGCCTACATTCCTGAATGAAATGTCAACCCAGGAAGTGGTATAGGACTGTGTAAGCTTTGGGGGTGTTGATGGAAACAATCTACTCCATCTATGATTTGAACATCGTTCTGAATCCAATCCAGATGCAGCCTTCAACAAAAATGCAATTTTCTTAGCGTTTTGTTCAAAATGTTTTTTTTTCTTTTTTTTATGAAACCGCATTAAAGTGTTGATTAAAAAAAGTATGCATGCAGCTAGATAAATATGAGTTTTTGGTTTAAAAGCAGAGACCATATTTTTTTCTTTTGACATATTGCATGTTCAGATATTTATACAACAAAATATTCTGGGGGCCATGAAATTTTGTGAAAATGATCAAAAATGTTGGCAGTGGCTGGCAACTTAAAAAAAAAACTGCTGGGGAAAGAGTAAATAAACTTGACTGAAGACATTCAGAAACTTGCTCTTTATCCTAAAATGTAATGGTTGCATTACAGGAACGCCTTCTAATGAGCCTGCTGCCCAGAAATGTTGCCATGGAGATGAAGGAGGACTTCCTGAAGCCACCAGAAAGAATCTTCCATAAGATATACATCCAACGACATGACAATGTCAGGTACAGAAAGAACGAGAGAGAGTGTTTTTCAACAATCAAGCCATTCATGCTGAAAACCCACACTTGTTCAATGAATGAGAGGTGAGAGCACTACGTTCATAGTATTTTCCAGACTAGACAGTCAGTGTCAGTTCCATTGTACTTAAATTGTGATTGCGAATACTGAATCAGTGAGTCAATAAGAGTCAACAACTCTCCACTCACGCGCAGTCGTCTAAGTTCCTGAGTCTGGCTGCCAACCAAAGCTCGCACAGCGTGTACGGCGCCCACAGCGCTAGTGCTATCAACTCAAGAGCTGCTCAATTAACCCACACTGCCCACACACATGGAGAGATGGAGAGTGAGAGATGGAACAAGGCAGTGCTGGGGGGCAAATTCACACAATAGCACATACACACATATACACATATGCCATCTCAAAGACCCGTTCCAGCCAAGAGATTGGTGAGTGAAAGATGATGCATAAAAGTAACTTTTCCATGACTAACTGACTGTCTAAAAGATGAGGTTAATCCAGGCCCAGCTCCAGATCAAACATGAAGAGTGGGCTGTATCTATGAGCTCTATAAAAGCTATATGTTTGTACTCTCATTCATCTGCCGTGTTTGCTTAGTTTTGAGATATAGGTTTTATTGAGTCCATAACCGGAGTCAGAAAAGCTATGTAACTAATGAGGCTGGAGCCAGTGGTTTATTATTATAGTTTTGAATTTAGATTTTAATTTTCTTTCAAGTTTATTTTCAGTTTGTCCTTTCAGTTTAGTTGGTTAGTGGTTGTTAGTTTTAGTTTTAGTTGTGTCATAGTTTCATTTTATTTAGATGTTATTTAAATCGCAGCATTACATTTTTATGTTAAAGAAGGCGGGTTATAAAGATCTTCATATTCTGTAATAAGTAATCTTAGTGTAAAACTAAAAATAATTTGTGGTCATTTAAAATTTTGTTTTAGTTGAATTCAGCATAAAATTGAAATTCACTTTTTTCTAAATTCATGTTATTGGTCTTTCTTTTCTTTTTGACTTTTTAATTTTTAATCAAAATGTCAATTCGATCTTCTGGTAAAATAACACTTTTTTCTGGTGGTGTACACAAAAAATGATGTAGAAAATTATTTTCACTCAGAAATTGCTAGTAAATTTCATAAATAATTTCAAAGAAATGGCATGTAACACACTGAAGTAAACAAAAGTTTGAAAGACTGAAATAGTACTTTCTTCTAAAACCTCCTCCAATAAGCTGTTTTATTTTACAACTTAATTTTTATTTTAAAATCATTTTTTACCATGTATACCGACTTCTCCAATCATTTGTCTGCTTAAACTCCACCCTTTTCTTACAGTCGACTGGAAGCTCTCATTCAGATCTGCCTCCATCCAATCAACTAACAATCGATAGAACCAAGTTGTCGCCCTACTGTACATTTTTTAGAGAATCTGTTTCACTTGAATGTTCATCACAATACAGTGTAAAAGATCTGTCACTACTTCTGTTTCATTGCATTTTTATATAGTCTTTATTAACAATAATAACACTACCAACATGATAATTGAATGATATAGTGCTGATTGGTTAATTGGACTATAGTAACCAGCCAAACCTTGACTCCTCAGTGAAACTCACGATTGGGTGGGATAAGTACCCCGTGGACCCCTGGCCTAGGCAAATCTGACTGACTGTAATGTTTTAATGAAAAAAGTCCAACAGATTCAGTAGACGCTATATACTGTATGTTCATTCAAAAGCATGTTTCTGATAAAACAGTCATTCACATGCCGTTAAAAAGAACAGTGTAAGGTCTCGTGAGAATCACCATAACCTGTTGTCCTCTCGTTCTGTGCAGCATCCTGTTTGCAGACATTGTGGGCTTTACCAGTCTAGCTTCACAGTGCACGGCCCAGGAGCTGGTCAAACTGCTGAACGAGCTCTTTGGGAAGTTTGATGAGCTTGCTACTGTAAGTAATGCTATTGACATGTACGTGTTGAGAGAAAGGACAGGGGAGCAAAAATCATATCATAAGGCTTGAGTCAGTGGGCATGTCAGTGGGCAAACTTATATGATTGCTCACAGTCTGCAATATGCTAATCAGCATTATAATTATAATCCCCATTAGTGGCCTCAGCTTCTCATAGAGTCCCTCTGTGCATTGCGGGAGAAAGGAAGCATTTGAGTTGGAAACAGTATTATCCTATCCACCTTTTTCTTCCCGTAAAAGTGGCCACGGCCATTTGTAAATTCTATGGGTCTGGCTTCCAGTCTCATCCGCGTCCAGCTATTTTTAGCTGTACAGAACCGCTCGTTTTGCTGCTTGATATTGAAAATTGGTGTGTCTTACCATATTATTTGAATGTGTTGTCTTAATTACGAACACACTGGTTTATAATGCAAACAGTTTTACCGTTTACTGCACATTGTTATTCTTCTCGTTATTTCCCTATAGCGGCTAATGAACCGGAAGTCTTGCCCATAGGCTTACTTCCGCGTTGAAGAAAAAGGTGGATAGCATCATAAAAATCACAGTGGACTAAATACTTCTGACTGAGAAAAATTCAACATGAATTTGCATACACTACTGTTCATGTGACAGTAAAGACATTTACAGTATAATGTTACAAAAGATTTCTATTTCATAAATAAATGATGATCTTTTGAACTTTCTGTTCATCATATATATATATATATATATATTTAAATTATATTATAGATTATATATTTTTCTTTTTCTTTTTCATAAAGAAAATGTGAGTGGTGAATGCACTTGCAAAACGTACCTTCATTGTTAGTCTCTCGATCCATTTTACTGTTCACCACATAAAAATAATAAGTTTGATCACTTTGAAAAATGTTAGCAAACCTTGTCCTGAACAAACAGCATAATTTGAAGTGATAATGTTCACAGAACAAATTGTGCAAGACAGATTATTCACAGAAGTTTAATAAAAGCTTAAGAGTTTGTTCTGATCCCTAACAATAGTAACAGAGATACTTGTCTTAGCAAACACTAGTAAATACTTCAGCAGCCCCTGACAGTAAATGCTAAATTACCATCCTGACAGCTGTGATTGTGTTTGCACTTTTCAAAGGTGCTTTCTGAGATCCTACATGAGCGTCTTTGATGTTGAATAACTGCAAATTACAACTGAAGCTTTTACTAGGCTTTTGCATTATTTGGATCTTTGTCATGGATTGTAATTATCAATCCTCCAATAAGTAAAACTGTGGTTTCTTGTGTATTAGAAAGAAATAAAAGCAGATTGGCTTCAAATTTTCGCTTTCGTAATTTTCCTTTCTTCCAACATTTTCACGGCTAACTTTGTCTTTCTGTATCCCCAAGTCAGCAAGCGTAAATCTAGGCTAAATACAATCTTTTCCAGAGAAAAGTAAGGCTTTTTGAGAAATGCAGCTCTCTGTCGCAAAAAACTAAAACTTTTGTCAAGTTTGACATTAGTTTGAAATTCAGACAACAGTTGGAAGTGAATGGCACAGATGGTGTATGTGTGTGTGTGTGTGTGTGTGTGTGTGTGCTTTGACAGGGGGTTTCCCACAGTCTCCTCCTGCCCTGTGGTGCCAGATGGTGCATTTCTAATGAAATAGAGCAATCGATCTGTTGAGTTTCTTCTTTTCTGTCTTTCTGTTTGTTTTGCTGTCTTTAGTCTAAAGTGTCTTATTGTTCTGTTGAATCAATGTGGAGGGTCTAATCTTGATAAATGTCTTTACTGCCAATTTTTATTAATTTAAGGAATTCTTGCTGAATAAATGTATTTCATTTAAAAAATAAAATCTTACTGACCCCAAACATTAACATTTTATTTTAAAAGTGCAGAAAGTTTGGTTTAAAGTTAAATTACATAAGCAAGTCATATTTACTTTGGTGACCATTTTCACAGCAGTGCTGATTTTTATTTTTTTATTTTTTATTTTTTTATTTTTTTTCGCAGTGCGTTGAAATCAAACAAGATTTTGCTATAGGCTTGTATCCATTTTGTGATCGAAAAATATGTCTGTTGGACTTAATGCAAGTTCCACATAAAGTGACAAGCACAAAAACAGTAACGTATTTCTAAAACTCTCATCTGCTCATTTAACTGTAAAATTCCTAATAGTTTGTTTCAGCAGTACCATAATCATTGTTTCATTCATTCACTCTTAAATTGTGTAAATATGTAAGAAATCAGATTCTGTATAACCTGGTAGATACGTGTTATTAATCCTCAGACTTGCTTTCAACTCCACCTCCCATTAATTGTGCTTTTGTGTATCTGATTGTCAGGAAAACCATTGCAGGAGGATTAAGATCTTGGGAGACTGTTATTACTGTGTGTCCGGCCTGACCCAGCCCAAAGCGGACCACGCTCACTGCTGTGTGGAGATGGGTCTGGACATGATCGACACCATCACGTGAGTGTTTGTGGCCAAATCTCATTTTGTTTTAACAGCAGTCACTGAGCCGGCCAGCCAGCCAGCAGCAGCAGCAGCTACAATCATCTGACAGACTGTATTTGAAAGCTATATAGTGATTTTATTTGTGTGGGAATGTGTGTGTGTGTGTGTGTGTGTGTGTGTGTGTGTGTGTGTGTGTGTGTGTGTGTGTGTGTAT